CCCAAGTTCGAAGTGTGTGTGGGTGGGGGAGGGTGCGCGTGTGGATCAATCTTTGAAACATACCAGCATGCTTCTCGTATGCCACGTGACAACGAGCATCCTCCCACCTTGCCTGGCAAGGTGTCAAAGATCGTCTCCAAAGGACAGCGAGAATCAGCGCATCCAATGATGGCAGTGTGGGGTGCCTGACCTACCTTGGAGACCGCGGACGCACGCGGACACCGAAGATTGTGGGTGGACTTGGACGCTTGATGTGCGCAAGAGAAACAATGCGCCTGGCCTATCTCATTGATCGCTTCTTGCTAGTGTCTGTGCAAGACAAATAGTCGGATAGGGTGGGGTGAAGGGTCAACACGTATGGAGATCGTGTTTTTGCAGTTGCAGGTTGGAAGATCCACCCAGTGCAAGCATCCCGTCACTTGGCGCAAGTATCAACAGCCACATTAACATACATTAACATAAAATTCCGCCACGATGTGTGATTGGACCATGAAACCATGGACTGGTTTGTGCCAGTATTGGCAATTGTCATTGAGTTTAAAGTGGCGCTGCTTGCTCGAGTTCAGGGCATCATTTCTCTCTGTTCGTTCATATATATATATATATATATATTATACACGTACCCTACTGGCGGCTCCTATCCTGCGATTGGACACTCCAACCGACTGAGTAGTTTGATGTTTTGAAGTCAGCCCTGAACAGCAGACGCGTGATCTCGTGCAGGTCTGTTCTCGTGCAGTTACTACTCCGTCTCTAGTTGAGTCATGGTTATGACTGGGTTCATGTTATCAAACCCTTCACACATGGAGACACATAGGAGTGATTCAAACCAAGTGAGCTGTGGCACCTGGGCAGAAAAATAAGATTCTCCCATTGACCGTCCCACTTGGGGCTAGGAGTTCTGTTTTGATCGACAAATCATCTCTGAACCATGTGTCTTTGTCCAGCTCCCTGCGCATCAGCGAGTCCACCTTGGTGGACTTCGGTTCGCCCTTCACAAAGCGCACGTTGCCGTCCTGTCATGTGTCACAGATTGGCAAACATGGCACATAGCCGGACATAGCCAATGACTGGAGTCACTGCAGCAGTAGCTTCTTGCTACTAGTAAGTAGTAGTAAGAATGCTCCTAGTGGCTGGGGCCAGGAGCCCTTAGTAGCGTCCTTGCTCCTAGTAGTAAGAGATTCACCGCAGACTCTCACTCTTGGGTTTCAGTTTCTACTATCTACCAATCAAATCGAATCAATCCTTGGTTTGATTGAGTTTGAGTCACCCACAAGTCTTTGTCCATTGAAACACGGGTATTGAATGTGGACGCGTGGATTGGGACACGGACTCTGAAAAGGGTGAGAGCAGCGGTCCTTCAAGAACTTGAGGGCTTGCTCAGGTGGCACCTGATGATCACCCGCCGTGCGAACTCGTCCGTCCATGCCTCAGCCATAGAGTGATCATGCGCTGTGCTCCCTTATTCCTTTCACCGGGTACCCCCCTAGCAGACTAACATAGACCCTAAGAATTCACCAGTGAAAGAACTTTTTCCTCTAGAACCCAGTTCCATAATGTTCCATATTCATCTGCAGGGGAGTATCATCGAGCTTTCCGAGAGTTCTGTCTCCCTGGTCTCCTCGATCTCCCCGCCTGCGGCAGCTCGGGCCATGGGGTGGTCTGCAGGCAAGTCGAGCATCGCGCCAGCTGCTCCGACGTTATCGATGGGCCGGGACATGGCGAGTCGACAACGGTGAAAATCAACGCGTGAAGATCCAAGGCTTGTTGCTGCGGCTCGGAACTACACCATGGCTTGCGTCGATTTGCCGCGACGGCCAGACAAGTGTAGACACTTCATGACACTTCAAATAGTTACTCCCCTGCGACCAAGAGTTAAAGCCGGCTGGGCATGCTTTTCGTCCGCACGAGGTGTCACGAGTTTCTGGCGGTCTACCACAGCATGAGGCATAGAGCTTGGGGATGTTGTTGGATGTTGTTGGAGAATAACACCAGGGCAGAATGCCAGGAGCTAAGCATAGCTAGAAAATTAATGAAAATTGGCTCGGAATAATGCCAGCTGCTTTTCAAAAGAGGCTGGCTTCGAAACCTTAAACAGCAGCACTCTTGTCTGCAAAATGCTTCGACCTACAGTAGCCCCGAAGGAAGCCCGCTGCTCCTCCAGCGGAACAAATTCAGTGAAACAATGTCCTCCAAAAGGCATCTGGACTTTGAACGTACGAATCTTCAAGGAAAATCAGATTTGGTGTCTGCCTTGCTGTGCCCAAAATCCTCTTGGAAGATCAAAGCTCTAGGACTCTAGGCAGCTGGGATGCTGTCCAAGTCTTCTTCGAACATGAAGCCGGACGCTTCTTTCTTTCAGTTTCAAACACCGGAAATGAGCTCACTTAGTCAACGAGGGTGGCAAATTCGCCTCCGACTTGACAAGACCGGCCTTGGGGCTCGAGCCACGGAAGGCCACTATCACAACGAAGCTACTCAACTATGAGCACGAGTCCGAATCACCCACTATCACACGTCACACACGTCACACGTCTTGAACATTGAGTTTCGCTCCCGTAAGCTGACGAAAGTTTTCAATGTTCAATCGAACAATTTGCTGTACAAACAAAATGCTGTCTGTGCCAAGTGCTGCCCTACCATGTCCATGAGCTGATCCATAAGAACGCCCGCGAAAAGAGTTGAACCACCAACAATCGTCTTGAATCGCTGAATTGAATAGGCACATCCGTGATAATCCACTGTCGCTTGATGTTTTTGGCAAAGGACTGATTCAAATCACATCTGTAGCTGAGCAAATGTCAAATGGCTGAAGGATCGGCAAAACAGAAAAACTCAAAGATCCCTTAGCCTAGTTTGAAGAAGAGAAGTTGTCGTTCAGGTGCTGTCCTGCTGGACTTTGCAACTGGCCGTCTGTCTGTGTGTGTGTTGCAGGCCAAGGGGCTTGTGCAGGGCTTTGACCCAGGAACTCTACTCGGCCGGTTTCGAGGTCGTAGATGCCACCCTGAATCTCCACCTCACCAGCCTGGACCTGCATCAGTCGGATCTACCGAGTGCAGAGTGGTTGGATGCCACGGTCTCCCTTTGGAGGACAATGTTTTCAGGTCCAACCAAGTCCAATCACACACTCCCCAAGTGTTGGGGATGAAAACATTCTCACAGAAATGAATGGGTGGATGCTGTCAAGAACCATTGGAAGTGGTCTAATAAACCGTACAAACACCTCGATGAACAAACCTGGCTACCATGCCATTGACCTTTTCATGTTCAATACACATCAAGAAAAATGAAGCTCTAGTATGGCTTTGACATGACTCCACAACTGGAGAAAACCAAACAAGTGCTCGAAGTCTCATTGGCGTCGATGCCCTGCCTCCCAGCCCGAAGCCTTCCATGAACACCCGTCTTTTTAATTGAAAGACTTCAGCAACGTGTCGTCAGCATGTCGTCCTGTCAGCATGTCATCTTCCCCGGCGAACCCATCGCCTTTCTTCGAATCAGAGGGCTGTACTGAAGAAGGAAGTCAATAGTATGGAAAACATTCCTTGGCAGGACCCATGCCGGTGTGATCTCCATCAACGGACTATGACCCGGCACGCCGGGTTAATTGAGTCACTCACTCCTTTGCACAGCACTCGTTCCTGACCAGTAAATTGAGATATTGTTTTCGCCTCTTACTTCATCAATCAGTTATTTGCATACAATCACAACTCACGAAGTCCTGGGGAGCATGTTTGCCTCTATATCATACAAGTAATTGAAACATCTTGAAACCGCCTCCAATGACAATTCATCAACATCGCCTCCAATGTCAATTCCTCACAGGCTATCACTCCAACCTAGTAGCGATGGCCTCCAACCTGCCTCCAGTCGATGAACAAGGCTCAGTTTGACAGCCAAGGTGGCGATCTGTTGTTCCGTGGCATCTGGACCAAGTTGGCTGGCTGCAGAGGAAGCCACCACGCTGAGACCTGGCGGGACCCTCCACCCACCAGAAATCCGCAAAGCTGCAATCTGCACAAGCCACCAGTGTTGAAGGTTCTTGTTGACCATTACTATGCAGTCTCCTGCCATAGTTGGGTGCAAGTGGTAATATTCCGTCCCCTGCATACACCTGCAAATGAACAATTCCTTGCAATTTTGAGTTGCGGACAGCATGGTACAATATGACCTTTGCCAATGACCCCCCAACCACGCCTTCTAGCAGCGCATCCAGGGCTTTGGCGGCCTGTAGTCGTGATCAACTGCAAGAGTGGCAGTGTTGGACTAGGCCACTTGCATGCTCTAAGAACGTCAACACTAACAGGAATCACATGATTTGATGCACTCAAGTGCCTTTGGAGGAAAACTAGTAGGAGGTCGCGCACGTGGGGGCGGTTCAAGCACGTGGGGGCGGTTCTATTGACAGCACGCACAAAAATTCAAGGGAAAGGAAAAGAATAAAAACGATGTCGTAAATTTGAGGGGCGGATGTTCACATCCTTCCACGCACGAAAGACTTCAACAGTCTACATAGTTGCTTTCCTCCATACGTCAAGTGTTCCAAGCGAAATCGCCTTGGTCTTGGTGGGGATCTTGGATGCCAAAAAAGTCTTCGTAGCGCCCTTGATGGCGCCACAAGCAGTGTGGCCGAGAACCATCACCATCTTTGTGTGCAGGGCGCCCAAACAGAATTCCAAGCCTGACAGTCCACCATGAAAAATGCCAAACGCCAAACCAATACTGTGGAAGTATGGACTGGTACTGGTGGACCAATATGCTTTTGGCCCACTGCAAGTAGTGCTAGTTTTTCTGGCCAAATTTGCAGCTTAGCGGCTACCAACCATACTGCCTTCTGCGTGAGTGCAGGTATTGCCCGCGTTCCGCAGCACGAAAATGTCTCCGGGCATGGCATCAAACACGGTTTCTAACGGTGCACGAGAGTCCGCGCAGCCAATGATGGCGGTGTGCGGTGCCTGTCCCTCCTTCACCAACGCCTTCCTCATGGCCGGAGTGATGCGGCCGGAAATGGCTGCGCCCACGGCAAAGCGGTCGTTGCCCTCTTTGAGAAGCTTCAGCGCCTCTTGGTGTGGCATTGGGCCGTGCAGCGTGGTCCGGATTGGCAAAGCCTGCAGGGATGGTGGCAGGCTGGAATCGGAGGCCAGCAACTGTGCCTGGCATGGTGAACGACCCATGAATTCCACACGGCCAGTTTCAAGATGGTAGACCCCACCCTGGATCTCCAGGTTGCCACTCTTCACAAGCTGCCTCAGAGGCTCGCTGTACTTCAACAGGAAGTCAATGGAAGTGAAGACATTCACCTTCACGGCATGGGCAATCAACTTGTCAGTTTCAGCACCAACACCAAGCTCCTTTTCAGCCTGCTTTGCCACACGGGACAAGCCCATCAAGAGTCCCTCAAGTGCACAGCCTGCATTCTTGGATGCATCCCCTTCCTTGCTTGCAAGGTGGGTCTTGGTGGCACCAGCAATGGCTCCGCATTGCGTGTGACCAAGCACCAGAATCAGCTTGGATCCCAACTTGCCGCAGCAAAACTCCAGGCTGCCCACCATGGAACCCTCTGCGTGAGTGCATGTGTTTCCTGCGTTCCTCAACACAAACAAGTCACCCGGCATGGCATCAAACACAGTGTCCACGGGCACACGGGAATCTGCGCAGCCCAGAATGGCCGTGTGCGGAGCCTGCCCATGGCTCACCAGTGCCTCATTGGCTGATGGAATTGTTTTGCGCGGGTGTTTTGTGGATATATGAAGCCTATGCATACGCACATACACACACCTTGATCTGATCTTGCAACCTTCAGAAGAGGGTTTTCTACTTGTTCCCTTATCTTTACAGGCACCAGCGCCTCACGCATCTTTGCTGTGGCATTCTTGGCCAATGGAGCCCCTACTGCAAAGCGCTCGTTTCCAGCCTCAAAACCAGGGACAAGAGCTTAGGTTCAGTTGCATTCAAGTGGAACAATCTAGCTCTTTCATAGATGGAACTAATCGAAAGTTGCTCTTTTGGCCTTTTGGCTACTTTTGACACCTTTTTAACCTAACTTTTGGTAAAGCACGCGATCCTGCCTGGAGCATCTTCAAAGCTTCATCTGCTGCTACAGCACTGTCTGCTGCGGTTCGCACCCCGTGCATACCTCGAGCCGCAGGGCCATAGCCACTGGTGCGGCCGCCCTCCCGGGTCATGGAGGGAGGAAGCCCTCGGTGGGTGGAGCTCAAAAGTTCCGTCTGCCGAGGCGATCGCCCCATGAACTCCACGGTTCCCGTGTCCAAGTGGTAGAGGCCACCTTGGATCTCCACCTGTCCACTCCGCACCTTGTCACGGATGGATTCGCTGTATCTCAGCAAGAAGTCGATGGTGTGGAAGACGTTCACCTTCACAGCGTGGGCCGCGACGCTTTCGGCATCACTGCTCGAGCCCATGTCGCTCAGTGCCCTCTCAGCAACGGGAGCCAAGTCCAGCAAGAGGCCCTCAAGCGCTGAGTTCACACTAACCACATCACTTTTCCTTGCCTCCAAGTAAGCATGTGTGGCACCATAGACTGCGCCGCACTTGGTATGGCCCATGACCAAAATCATGCGAGCGCCCAATTTGCCCGTGCAAAATTCCAGGCTGCCCACCATGCTACCTTCTGCGTGAGTGCAGGTATTGCCAGCGTTGCGCAGCACAAACACATCGCCAGGCATGGCATCAAAGATCGTCTCCAAGGGCGCGCGTGAGTCGGCGCAGCCCACGATGGCCGTGTGTGGCGCTTGTCCCATGTCCACTAACGCGTTTCGCATGCCCTCGTTGGTCCGCGTCGCCTTCCAGGGGGCGCAAAGCCGTGGTGTTTGGAACAGCCACATGAAAGCACCGGCCCCATTGATCGCCATAGTACCAATACTCAAACCACCAAACAAGCCCTTTGACGTCAAGCGACTAAGCAGCAAAATTGCAATACACATGTCCAGCCAGCAGAGCTTGCTACAGTAGATCGTATGTTTCAAAGTGTGTCAAACATGTTCATGTGTAAACAGTTTATCAGTCAATCCAAGCACGAGGCCTGGGGCTCTCCCTTCACAAATCTCATGTTGCCCTCCTGCAAGTGTGAGCAGGGGCGGGGGTCAATGCTGTGCAAACAGCTGTGTCTTGGCCCGATGCATCCGTCAAATTTGAAGGAAGGGTCCCTCTTCAGTGTTTTGCATGTGTTGTTGTTGTAACTACCTGAATGACGTGTTCACCAAAACCGGAATCATGTAGTGGCAAGACCTGAAATAATGGAAATGAACGCTGAATGAAATGCGCGCATTGATTCAAGGAGCCCATGTGAAGCCTACTGTGGCGGAGCAAAAGTGGGTTGATCAGCAGACCGCTGGGAACTCAGCAGCAGTGGAGAGATGTTTCGTCGGGGATGATTGACGGGTCATTGATCTTTTATCAACCTCGAACCTACCAGTACGAGTAGCTGTCAGGCAGTCTAGAGTTTGGAGTGCCAGAAGTGTGGAAGGGAAAGCCCATGTTTTTGAGTGAAGGTTCCAAAGTCAGTCTCTGACCAACAAGAATCGTAACAAGAATGGTCTTCCAAAACATTCCAAACTCTTCCAAACTGGTGCACGGATCCACAAAATTCTTCAGGATTGGATGGCTCGAGCCAGTCACTCCTATCCACAACATTCCACAAGTCACTCCCTGCTCTGCAATGCTCTGCAGCTCTGAGGTTGGAGGCCATTGCTATTAGGTAGGAGGTCATCGCTTCTAGGATGGAGGCCATAGCTATTAGGTTGGAGGCCTCTGCTCTGCGCCTTCAGATGCTTCAGCGCTTCCTCCGGCGCCATGGGCGGATCCGCTGCCGTGCGGACCGAGCGGCGGCCGCCTGGCACGGCCCCCCCGAGGGAGTGCCCAGTGGAGCGAGGGTGTTTCATTGAAACGTTCACCTCTTTGTGTGTCTTCTTTTTTGCCTATTACTACCGATGGTCCTTGCTTTTTTCATTTTTCACCAGGCACCAGCTAGAAGAAAGAAATGGTAAAGTGATCCCAAACAAAGCGCCAGGAGAAGCTGGGAAGAAGAATTGCTGACACGTCCAGATTGACAGGTCAACGACTGAAAATCAGAACAAGCTTCAATTATTCCCCCAGACGAATGCGATTCTTCGCAAATGATTGTGGCACATCGGCGATTGTTGATACGTCCTGCCCTTCCAGTGGGCGGTTGATACACTTTCTTGCCAGTGTTGAAAATGGGAAGACGGTCAGATAGTGCTCAGAAATTCGTATTGAACACCTCAAGGGACTTAAAGACCTACTCCCGGGAAAATTAACATGGAACCTGAAAATTTACCTTTGGAAGACTATTTTCCTCTACAACCCAGTGGCTGTCAGGTTCCATGTTAATTTTCCCGGGTGTAAGGTTAAGGTCTTTTTTTCTTTCGGACCTCGAGGACTCGCCCTCGCCTGGTGACGACATCTTGGCTCGGAGGCCGTGGAAGCGAGGACGGCGCTTCACTCGTTCAGCCCAAACAACTGAAGGAGGACGGCGGCTTTGACGTGAACAGAGTCGCTCAGACCTGGGCAAACCTATGGACCTAGGGGCTTCAAATCAGCGAAGCTCTAACCAGGAACTCTAGATATATGGGGCTCTTGAGAAACCAAGACTGGTTTGAACTAAGACTGGTATCTAAAGATTGACACTGCGGGGTAAGGCGGAAGAAAAAACTTCCAAGGCCTTGTGCCGGCTGTTACAGCTCACTGCACAAAGGACGGCTGTCCTTCTCAATCTCCTCCTGCAGCGAACGTGCGCTACAGTACCCCAAATGCGAGCAACACAAAGGTGATACCGCTGCTGTGCCATCCCTATAACATCGATTATATAGGCACCATATATTAGGTGCGTCTTTCACAGGACAGACATGTCCGATAAAAGAATATATTGTGGTTGATCTATAAAACGTCTTACTGAAACACAATTCTTTGCATTTCTTTGCGACAAAGTCTTTACTTTCGCGATTTGTTCGCAAACTCCATGTTTAACTTTCACGCGGGGTATCTCCGCACGCAGTCTTCCTGGTTTGGTTGTTTCCACATATCTATCTTTGGCAAATCTTTCCCGGAAAAAAAGAATGTCAAAAACTTTTGCTGACTCAAGAAACAAATGCAAACAAAATAAAAGGCCCTCAATGAACCTAGGCCTTATGTCGACCTTTTGATCAACTACCATATGTTTCTGGATCAAGGGATCGATGACATGAACATGCCGCGTGCATGCCATTGGTGTAGTGGCAACAAAAAACGGCTGCCAACAACATCCAACAACCATGTGCAAATAATCCCGAGTACCTATTAAAAAACGGACCCCAATTAAAAAAAGTCATGCCGGATCCCCTAAATTTGGTTTATATTTGGTTTTAAATTGCCGCCCTTTCAAACCGCTACTAAACTACCAACATGGTTGATTTTGGGGGTAGTTTTTTTTATTAGGTTCCCCAAAACTCCACCATGACACGCCGCGCTTACACCAGCAGGCTTTCCTTCCCTCAATGGCACGGACTCACGCAAACGCACTTGCCACCGAGGTCACGCAACACCGCATGGCACAGCGACATCACCTTTCGAAAGCTTTAGCTGTTAGTCTACTGAAGAATCACTATTCTAATGAAGGTTTTTGTAGGGGAAAAGGAGGAAGACCCTTCGATCTGGCGGTTTTTTGCATTTTTGATATGAGTTTAATAAAGGATTTTATATAAAATTTTCCTGGATTACTTTTTGGTTTTGAAACTCTTTCCAGGTGACCCTATTTTGGACACCCCGATTTCAGGGACCCCCTATTAAAAAAAATGCGACCGAGGTTTCCTTATTAGGGGGGGGGGGGCCGTGTTTATTATTAGGGGGACGGGATTAAATGTTCATATATTGTATATTATATATTATATGTTTTATATCTATCTTCTATTTGGCAACCAGCCGAATTCAGTCAAGCATTGCAGTGTGGGTCTGGGAGACCCCTGTCAGAGCTCTGATTTGAACGAACATTGTCGAGGCACCTGGGACCTTGATTGCTCTGTGTTCAAACGCAAACGGCACCATTCAGCCTACCCTCCTCTTTTCTCAGCCTACCCTCATCTGCTTGGACCCAGGCCGTTCCTAGGGGCTCCTGGCATCGCTACTAGGACCCAGGCCGCTCCAGACAAAGATCTTTGGATCGAAAACTTCCAACTTCGAGCCTTGATGCGGGCGTCACGCTCCTCCCTTGCATGCTTCTCCCAGGCGGCTGTGGCCTCGCAACACCGATCGGTTGCGGCTTCCGGTTAAAACAAAACAAAACGCGGTGTCTTTCGCTGGGGTTCCACACTGCTGCCTGCATCCTGACCGACATCGCTGTGGGAAGGTGATTCTCTGTACAGCAAACAGGTCGAGGGCGAGAATACAAAATTACAACAATGTGGAAATTACCAAAAAATTACACACAAAGGATTTGAAGTGGGCTGAAGACTTCAGCCGAGGGCCAGAACATGTGACCTAGATGTCCTTTTGGTGCGGAAACTAGACCAGCCTCAGAATGTTCCTTTGGAGCCTGACGTTGTTTCTTGACTTGTTTGACTTGTCTTGGTCAAGGTTTGACCTCAAGTTTTCAACATCAAATGTCCGGTTTACTGCCACCTAGCAGTCTTGTGTTCAGTGGATTTGTGGTCACCTGCAAACTCCAGCTGTTTGGAGAGAGTGGGAAAATGTGAGCACTGCTAGAGCAGCTTCTGGCTTGAACCCTTTCTTTGGACACAACCAAAACCAACCAGAAGCTGATTTTCCAATCTGCACGTTTCTCAACTTTAATTTCCTTGACTTTTGAAATTTGGCAGCTGAAGTGGGAAGGGTGAACTTGGAGCCCTTCAAAGACCCACATCCTTGGTACTTCTACTCAGAGTGTCCACCAAAGGGGCAAGCGGCAAGCGCAAAGCTTGCTAAAGGTGCCAGTGCTGCAATAGATGACCGTGCGGGAAGGTGGGCATTATATATAATACTCCAATTCAAAGCTGAGGTGGGTGTGTCTAAAAATTAAGAGACCCAAAAGCATTCTGGGTTCATCTATACTCTATACTAGACTCTATACATTTCTCTTGCCGCCTTTTTTGTGACACAATGATGTCATCTTTGGTGATGCCAGCCTCTCGCGAACTGATGTGCATCTGCCGTCCGGCGCACTCTCCAGCACCAGCAACTGTCACAGCCGTCCGTTGCTCGAGTCACAGCCCACTGATGTGACAGACTGACTGTTGTTAGCTTGTTGTGGGCATCAGTGGTCTGCGGCTACAATTGACGGATGTCTGCCCACTGGACCGCAATTGGGACATCTCATACTGTAAATCATAGCTTGTGAATGTCCGCACGTGGACACAATAGGAAACCAGTAACGTTTGTTGATGTTGATGAATGCCTTAGTTTCTTCACACTGTTGTCGCATCTGAAGCTAATTACTGTCTTACCTGTAGAGCTGGTTAGGCCAACCCGACGCAATGGCAGAACAACACCGTCGCCCACATCACCCCGCACAGCCTGACCATCATCCGAGTCCTACCATGTCAGGAAGTGCAAAACAACGCGCATCCAACTGAATCGGCGCCAAACGCTGTGGATCGAACAAATGCACCGACTGTTTGGCGCCGGAAAACACCCCATGGCCCTCATCCCGTCTTCTTTGGAGCTTTATATAATGGCTTTCATGTCGTGTTCGCATGTGCTCCACCTAATTCTCCAGCCTCTTCTCAATTTGTGTTGAACAATCGTCCTTGAAGCCTGCAAGGCGCATAAGCTCTTTGCCTGCTTGCCCTGGGAGCACAGGGAGCTCAACCCTAAGGCCTATCGAAAGCATTGGTTGTAGCAATGCACTGCGAAAGCACACAAAACGCCTCTCACAGCTAAGGCATGGAGATCATACAGCCTTTCCAATCATGGTGAGATGTTGATCAAAAACAGCAGTTAACTGAGCGGTCAGCTGGAAGTTGTTCTGGTCTTGCAGTCGTGGCAGTTTCAAGGGTGCTCTAGTCAGTGCACAGAAAACCGCCACAGCACCCCAGTCCAATAAGGTTCCTTCAGCTAGCAAATCCATCGCATGCCGCCTTCGGAAATGCACACTTACGTTTCCCCCTGCTCGGCTTCACCGAAAGAAACCGACCACTGCGTGCTCGCGGTCGCCTGCCACGTCCAGCAACTTGCCGCTCAAGGCAGCGTTGCTACATTTGAGCTGCCTCACCAGGCGGTTCCGACGGTTCCCACCGAGCCGTCGTTGCGGCAGTGACTGTTCGTGGCTTCGATTCCAATGTCGGGGTGGGACCTTCATATCTTCCTAAGGCAAAATGTGTATCACGCACAACAGATTGTGTATATTATGTGTCAAATGAGCTGCTTCGCTGCCCGTTTTGACTCGTTATCTCTTCACCCAAGTGACCTTCATCTCCAACATTCCCACACCTTCATGTTCCATTCCGTGCGCCGTCTTTCGCTTCGCACCGGGTGTTCCGACTCCTCTCTTTCGCCTCCCGACCGGGACTCGCCTGAACTTGGCTTCCTCTGGACTCTGGAGGGTGTTGTCTAAGACCTTGGCCGAGCTTCACGGCCGACCTGGTCCGCTCAGATTTGCTGAAAGAAACATGGACCATTGGTCCACAGTGATGCTTTTTCTGCGCCAGGTCCGGGTTCTCAACGCGGCAAAAGCATCAGAGAGATGGACAATGAAACAGCGTGTCCTCGCTCTTCAGATGGGAGGCAAAATAAACTAGACTAGACTTGATGCAGCACGCATCAGATGCAGCGCGCATCAGATGCACGAAGAACTGGAGTGATCCATGCCGCTTCTTCTGTGGGTAGCAGCTTCCACTTACATCTTCAACACCCAGCCCGCTGAGCTGGGCAAACAAAGAGTCGTGTCTCGGCATCCCCTCAAGAAACGGCAGGAATGATTGAAGAAGCTTGCATGTCAAGTGGGATGCCATGCTTTGAGCAGAAGCATCAACAGCGAATTTCATATTACGTGGACGCAGGTTGGATGACAAATTCCAAAAACAAACGACTGTGCGACGAGACAGGCTCAATCATCTCAATCATCCAGTCACACGCAAGTCCTAGAGTCCTAACGTCCTAGCATTTCGTCCTTGTCACACCTACTGAATTGCAAGACTCACCATTCCGGACAAGGTTGTCGACCATGAATGCATAGGCATTGATGATGTCGGTGTAGGTTCCTGTGATAGGGCAAAATTCCTGGTCCGGTGGATTACACATCCGCTTGCATGAGCAGATTGTATAGCAATCCTGAACCGCTTTCATTGCCTGGCAGCACTCCGTCACCGTGGCATTCCCAATGATGACGTTGGAGTAAGCCGCTGGGCCACAGACCCTTCGCATCTGTGCAACTCGCTCTCCCCTGCAGACCTCAATGTCCTCCGGTGTACAGTAGCTAGCACGACTGGTATCACAACCTGACAGTACCAGTGCCATGGGGATCAAACCCAGCCAAACCATACCAAGCTGCATCGCACCAATATGTGGCACTGCACAAGCCTTTTGCATAGGGACGGCAGAGGGTCTCGGCTCTTCAGCGTGCACTCTCTATAGAGGGTCTCGGACCAAAACTGCGAGGTGGAGGTGATCGGCACATGCGCGGATCGCAACAAGGGAACACAAGGAAGATTGAAAGAAATTGACGGTGAGGCCTCCAAAAAGTCCGCCTGAAGCTTCTGATAGCCTGATAGCTTATATAATCTTATATACAGTACATTGTGTTCTCGATTCCCTGTTTCAGCACCTTCAGACCGGTTCGGAAGAAGGCTTCCTGCACCTGCGCGACGATTTTGGCGCGTTTTTACGTCCGACCGAGTCTCCTACCTCCAGGACGTCCTACCGTCTGTCCCACGAGGGTCTACGACAGGATGGCAAGAGTGGCAAATTTTGGTTGGGATTCGATGACCTGAGCCTCATGGAGCCTCATGGAGCTAAAAATACTGGTTCGAGCAGTAAATCACCTTCAAATACCAACTGCACAAAAGGGCTCCAGTCAGTGTGTGTGTGTGTGTCACCCTTGGAGTCATAGGGATGCTTTTGCATTTGTTTTACCGCAGGGGACCAGGCATCTTGCTGCTGACCTGGTCTAACAAAGCTAGGCAGCAAGATGGGCTACTGGAGTTGGCCACTCCAGCGTACCTGCATTTTTCTGCATTCTTTCCGCATGGCATGAGGCTAAGCCCAGAACCTCACTGGCTGCAGACATGAGCGATCGTCGTCATTTCGACCTGTTCGTCGCCTTCGATCTTACGCTTTTGGCCTCACTTCCTCTTCCAGACCCCCAGGTTTCGCTGGTTCCCTACTGGTACTCTTAGGAAATGGAACCCTAGGCCGGCGTGTGGCACCGCTATCAAGTGAGTACGCATCTCCATGAGTGTGTTTGGCTTCGCGCCAACCCGGGATGAGCCCGCAGAGTGCCTCCCGTGGACCCGTCGAACGGGTGTACGTCCATGTTCCCCCGGCTTTGGGAACGCAGATGTCCACAGCGGACAGTAGATGGCTAATGCCGTACGTCCGATGATTTATGTCTCATTTTTGGAATTCCAAGCTGGCTCATGCCTTTACGTGACCGCAGCGGTCGAAGCAGCCAGCCATTTCGGCAAGGCACAAGGTGACCAGAGCGGTCAAAGCCAGTTTTAGGTTCATTGGAACCTGTTGGAGCCTCAGTTTTTCAGTTGATCCTCCTCCTCTCGCCATGTTCCCTTCTCCAGCTGGCCTCAACCCCGTCGACGGCATCACGATGAGGGCCCAGACCATCCTACATCGAGAAATTCTTCATCTACATGGTTTGTTGATTCTCGCCATTTCCCTTCTTCGCACCCGTTTCGCCATTCTCAACCCTTCCTTCGTGGACTACATCACCTCACCGCACATTCAGCTGCAAATTCGAGGCCTTGACTCTGCGATTCGGCAAGCGACTCAGGCCGTCCACAACGGAGTGCACTATGTCAACGAACTTCTCACCACTTTTGGGATGATGCACACCTTGAACTTTGACAACACTCAGGTTGATGCTGAATTACGCGGATGTTCGACCTTTCCTGACCCTCGTCTTCCTTCCTTTCCCATGATTTCTACCTCTCCTCGGGGCTCGGCTACGACACGGAGTACACCATCTACCAGTTTCTTTCCAGGCACATCTACAATTCCTCCGGCGAGCACCCCCTCTACTTTACGTCCACTCGTTCGACTTCTAGGAATCTCTAGGTTGTCTCTCGCCTACTCTTTCACCTTGAGTCCAAAACGTCTTTTAGGGACCTGGTGATCGACCACTTCCACAACCTACACCTCCTGTTTCCACCTCAGCATCACGACCTACCACTCCACCACAAGCATTTCAACCACCACCTTCAGCTCCACCACAACATACTCTTCCACCCGCTGAAGCTGAGGAACTTCGACAACTTCGTATCCAATTTCAACACCAACAACAAGCTGCTCATCATCTACAACAACAGGCCATGCTCCACTCTTCCTACAATCCTTTTCTCTCTCCTCTCCAATTCTACTTTCCTCCAACCTTTTCCACTCCCACAGCGCCACTTTCCCACTCACTGCCCAACTCAGCACCTTCCACTACTCCGGCTCCAGCACTCGCTCCAGAACCAGCACCAGTCTCCGTTGAACCCACCGACCTTTCCATCTCTCTCTTCTCCACCCGGGCTTCACCTCCTCATCAGGCAGCTTCCAATCCTGACTCTCCTCGTCGCCCGAGTCGACCAGTGACTCCACCAGGATTGTCAGTCGAATGGTCTCGACACAGCCCCGATTTCACCTCTTTGGAACACTCCGGCGAATTGGGCTACTTCATGGACAACATCATGGAAGTCGCCATTGAGGTCGCTCCTCAACAATACATTTGGACTACACCCTTTTGGCTTCGCATTCGCCTGTCCGGCCCCACCGACGTTTGGTATGAGATTTTTGACCACAAATTTCAAGATTGGAGCACTCTTCTCTCCCTGGTGAACAAGTTTCGCAGATCCCTTATTGACGACCTTCACCGACCTTGCAGCTGGGAAGAATGTGAAACTCCGGAACCATTACCTCGCACACTCGTGGACACCACCATCCATGAGCTTGTCCGCTTGTTGCCGTTACCATTGCAACGCCTTCCTTTGGATTCGTATTGCGAACACCTGACTGACTTCCTTACCACTCTTTCGCGTGTTCCGCAGATTCTGGAGAAGACACCGATCTTGCTTTGGGGCAAACTGCCTTGTCAGAATGTACTTTTCCTGCTCCTCAAGCTGGACTATCCCAAGACAGACTCGTTTCAGGATACTCAGACCACCTACACCTTTGTTCACAACTGTCCTGGAATCTCCCTTCGCGGTATTCTTACCGATGGAATCATTCGACCTAGCACCTGGAAAGGCGATGGGAAATCACATTCTACGGACTTTTTCCCCAGCTTGGGCTTCTATTGCCGGTGCTGCTACCCTGGCCACAGCCATGATTCCGACAATCGTATCAACTCCGACATTATACATCAACTGACCCCAGAGCTCCAGCGCGCTCTGCATGTGGCCAGTCTGCACGGAGGCCGCACAAGCGGTCGCCGGTACTTCGTGGCTGGAGAGTGCTTCTCCCGCCAGTTCCAGCACTACGTAGTGCGCCAAGGAGGCTTACCTTGCGACTCCATTGCATCTCACTTCTATGATGTTGTGAGGAATCGTTCAGACAGTAGGTATAAATGCAGATCCTCCACCAGCCAAGTTCAATTTGCTGGATTGTTCATTCGGACGGATGAGATCACTTCCTACGGCCTTCGACGCTCTGACATCCCACTATGAGCTTCCACTTTGGCATCTTCTTCACCAAGTACCATATCCTCCTTGCAGCGCTGTGACAAAACGTCGCTATTTTCTGCCACGGATTTCTCTTCCCACGAGAAAAGGACGCTTTCCCCACTGCAACCATTTCTGCCCACAATTTGACCTAGACAAAATACTTACTTTCTCACCTTTCCAGTTTTGATCTCGTTATCCTCTTCTTGGCTCAAGCTCATTCCGTTTCCTTTTGTTAGCTTGGTGGCCCCCTTACTATTTTCTCTCGCTGCGACTTCACCTTCTGATGGAGGCTTCTTTTTGGACTACTATGGAATCTCATCCTCAGCAAGCTCCCCTTGGCATCATCAACATGTTGATCTCGCGACGCACCTTGATCGACTCGATCTCTCGCTCCTTGGAGGTACTTTATGAGATGCCCTACACGACTGAATTCCCTCCGGGACTACCTCCTGATTTGGAACAACTTCTTCGGGATCTACATGCCTCTACAGAACGATTAATGGATGAAGTCACTCGGACCAATCGACTTTTACACCGTCTTGCCATGTTTCCTCCTCATGCTCTACCAACCCAGCCTTGGCTTCCAGATGGCGCTGTACTACCTCAATTCCCTCCGCCCTATGGTCCGGCTGCACCCTTATCCAGGACTTCATCGCCTTCCTAGGTCTCACCTGGGGCCACCTGACGCCCTACTTCCTTTCAGTATTTCGGCGTGTTCCCGATCGAAAACAAGAGGTCTCAAATTTTGCTGCGGTTTGTTTTGCTCAGTTTGATTGTCACTCTTTCTGCCTCTCTTTTTGCCCGTCTTTCCCTGATTTTCTCACATTTTCCAACCTGCGCAGCCTTTTGTTTTCGGATTTCAACTTCGCCCCACTTCGAGCCTCTTCCTGCTCTTCATGGATCCTCCTCCTACGGGTCTTTTGGCTGGTTCTATGGCTCCACCACCGCGTGAAGCCGTCTTCAATCCTTACCGTCTACCAGTCAGTCCGCCTCCTGGCAATATCCGCCCTCAGCCACATCGACAACCTGAACTCCTATGGCTTCATTGGATGGTTTGCCTTGCGGCATGGACAACTGAAGCCCTGTGCGCTCACCCAATTATGGCTCAAGAAGTTCCACCTGATCAGCATTTCGAGACCATTTCTGCCCGGAACATCTATATCCAGACGCCGCGCAGTCCATGAGTTCAACATCCAGCAACGCCGGATTGCGCGCGGAATCTCTCTCCTTCAATACGTCGTACCTTCTCCGGACACGACCACCACCTTCGGCGTCTATCGTGTCAACCCCAACGGCTTCATTCGGGCCTTGGGCACTCCGGAGGACAATTTGGCCCTTGGCACCGCCGCTGATGAAGCTCTTCTTGCTCGCCGACAATCACACCGTTTCTACGACTCCAATTCACCACCAGAATCACCTCCGACCCCGGCCACTCCGGCCACACCTCCACCCAATACGACACCTACACCTGCTCGTTCACGCTCACCCACCCCACCTCCACCCAATCCTCAACGCATACTTCATGATACCTCCACTTCTACCTCTACCCCATGGACAACCTCTTCCCGCGGTTCTACTCCCTCTACTCTCTCTTCGGCACTGGATCGTTCTCATCAACATCCTCTTGATGGTCGTGGACTTCTACATGGTCACCTCTGGCAAGCAACTAGACACAGGACACCTCCCACATCGACTCCGGCTCCTTCTGACGAGGTACTTTCACCACATCCTCCTGGACCTTCTCTTTAGACTCTATGGAGTCTTCCGCAGGATTTTTGAACCTGACTCGCTCGCATGGAAAACTATGCCGGTTTCGCCTCTTTTCTCTTTCTTTCTTTCTTTCTTTCTTTCTTTGTCCATGCTCTCCATGATTGTCCCTCCCATGTTGCACCACCCACACCTTACAACCCTTGTCGCCGATTCTTCAGC